AAAAATAATTAAAAGCTGGTGTTTTATTCGTGTAGTTTATTCATAGAGTACTTTTAACTTTCTTTTTCAATTCTAAACCAGTTTATATTCAGTATTTTTCATTTCATATTCCTCTTATGTTACTTACACAGTTGAATTGTAGTAAAATCATTATCCCTCTAGTGGAATTTTCAATAGCAAAATAATGGGACTGTAGAAATGTAAATGATTTTTATACTTAAATTTAAGTACATCCCTAATATCAATCATCTGTGCTGCTGTTACATTTTTCCTTGTTAAGCAATAATTTGCTACGATCTAAAACCGTAAAAAAATATATTGCTTTTGCTTAATCGGCACGAATTAAGTATAAAATCAGTAGAGGTTGTCTATAATTCTATACTTTTCTAAATATTATTTTTATGTGCATGGTTAAAACATGAAAAAGCTGAATAACTACAAAATAACAAAAAAGCGCTTTATACAATTTAATAATATTTATCATTTTAAAATTGAATTAAAGCAATATATTCTTAAAGGATACTCCATCCCCCCTCGGTTTAACTATAATTTTCAATTACCAGTCTCTTGAAAATTCGTCAAATTGGGTTTTGACTGCATTCGGATTAAAGCTACTTCACGGTGTGGTGTATTTAATTAGCACTAGGGCTATCTGCCTAAGGGAAGGGATGCCTTCGTGGAGGACTTTCCAAGGGAAACTGGCTCGTACACACGTTACACATGGAGAAAACCACGAAAATACCCATGCAGCCAGCCCGTTCGCGGGATTCGAACCTCGGACCGAACTACCAGGGTTCAGCGACTTTACCGCTCGGCCGCAGGTGGGCCCCAAAAGTTACTTCACATATAATATTATTTCTCCCATGTCTTCTGTCTCGCTTTAACGTAAATTCCCAAAATTACTTTTCATTGGCATTTTTATTTTATCTTTTGTTTATTAGTCTAAAGGAGCTTTGTCCCTGAAGGACTATTGTCTTCTGTTTGCGATTTTGCGTCGAATAACTTTGAATGTCCGTTTCACTTTTCAAACTGTTGCCACCAATTATTATTGCCCTGTATTATATTTGAAGAAATTAAATAATGAAGAATCTGCTTCAGGCATTGCGATAAAACAACGGTACATAAAGCCATCAAATTTCGAATGGCGTAATCCTCCTTCGAATATGGGCATGTGGAAGCCGAAATTTGGAATTTGTTTTATTATCGATTTCATATTTTGTAAAACTTTAACGAATTTTTGATTAACATACTCAAGGATTTCAAAGTGAGCAATGGCAACGTTGTACAGAGAAAACATTTTTATCTCCTGCGCGTGAGACTGCGTATCAGAAATTCTAAAGCATATGCTGAATTTAAAATTGTTTTGCGATATTGCTCTTGAACTGATTTTATGGTTTAAATGCGAAGAACATGATATTTTATAAATAAAGGTAACACACGAAGTGTTATAAAAACGCCCCTTTGGACGTAATTTAAAATCTGGTACATTTCAGATTCTCTTTTTAATTTTTTTTTTTTTTTTCGATAATTTACTCTTTTCTAATTCATCTCCCATCTCTCAGTTTGGCAGTCTTTAACATTTTTCTTGATATGTATATATGTATTCTGTTCACACGGTGCCAGTTTCCATTAAGAGAAAGTGCCAATGTAATTTTCCTCAGAAACGCTCTTTTACGAGCATGAAGTAAAAGAAAATAAATATCTTCCAAAATGAATTTCTACCGTTATGCTATTGCTGCAGCTTCTATTCTTTTTCAATTCTCTTTCTGGTTTTAGTAACTTTTGCCATCTTCAACAAAGAGTTTAAGATATCCCGATCATGTTTTTATAGCATTTTGCATGCTACATGATTTTGCCAAAGAAGAATATAAGTAACATACATTCCGTTTAAAGGACCTAGGCGTTCATAAATATGTAACAGAGTATATGGAACAAATATAGAAAGAGATAAATATTCTCCTAGATTTGCATTATTATGCGTTAGTAAATATTTTTTTTTTACCTATCGTTACTTACCATAGGGTTAACGATGCAAATAATTATTTGATAATTAACGTAAAAATATCAATAGCTGTATACTTTTGAGAAACAATTCGCAATTGTTCGTAAAATAACCTTTTCTGCAATTTTACAGACAACAATCAGTTTAAAAGATTTCTAAAAAAATCTTCTTGGACATTCAAATATGAAACATTAAATTCGTTATAATTTTGTTATTCAGTTATTAATATGTCATTAAACTTGAATATTTTATTTTCAGTGTGCTTTCTTACATCAGAAAAGTCGGAAAGAAACAAAATACCTTTGGCATAGACGTACTTAGCTGATCAATGTTTAATAATGTTATAAGGTATTTCTCCTTAATCTTAGCATGCCTTCCTGGTGTAGATGTCAGCCCACTCGGTGCGTATTCCAGAGGTCCGTGGTTAGAGTCCCGGCGAAGGCATTGCTCATTTTTCACATCTCCTGTTTCAGAATAACTTAAAGACTCTACAGTGGCGCCCGAACTATAAAAGGTGGTCGATGATCATTCTCCACAACCAGGATTTGGCGATTGGGTCTCCTAGTCGCCAGTCGCCCTTTAAAATGGAGGTTACATAAGGTATTTCTCTCGCCTTCTTAGCATGCCTTCGTCATGTAGTGGTCAGCACACTCGGCGAGTACTCGAGAGGTCCCCGGTTCGAGTCCCGGCGAAGGCATTGCTCATTTTTCACGTCTCTCAGCGTCAAAAATCGTGATGTCTCTACAATGTTTTACCCGCCACCCCGCCAGTGATTAGGGGAGCCTACTGAGGTAAAGAAGGGCCCGGATTCGAATACCGGAGAAGACATGGATGTTTTTATCTAAATGTATAGTGTCTTTGCGACATGGGGGCACTCTAAACATACGACAAGCTGAAAGCCCTCTATAGAGGTTGATGGTAGGGGAAGAGGGGTGGGACTCCATCCTCCCCGGGGGTGCTGTCCGTCGAAATTGGGGGCGGAACTGAGCGAAGTCGTACTGTCACCTGAATGGTGCTCAACGCTGTTGCCAAAGACACGCGTAAACTTGCGCTCCTTGCCACGATGAATTTCGTGAGCTTGTTCTGAGTCTCCCAACAAAAACATGTTTTTATTCGTAATATTGTTTACAGTGAGTTTTTGATTCTTTTCATATGCTGATTTATTTTGTTAACTTTACAGATCATTAATGCGCAAAGTCTGACTTATGTTGTAAAACTGAGTTATAATGTATTTTCTTTCGTTTTTAATTCTTTCATTCTTATTCCCGTACCGTAGCGGGTTTCACGGGTTCGCTTAATCGATGTTTTAGAGAATCGGAGCTTGTTATCAGTGCGTGAAAATTTATACAGAAAAGGAATTATTTGTCAAAAAAATTATGCATGAAGTAACATGGGAAATTTTCATCATTTTAATAAGAACATTTTTGACTTTCTCTCCCATATATATTGACAGTTCAAACCTATTTTTCTCAAAAGAGTCATGCTCCACTAGTACCTAACCTTAGTCTCTTGGCTAACCGCTGCTGAATACTTGTAATCCATCCCGAGTTCGAGGACAGGCAAACGAGCTGCTTCATGGTTGATTTTCATGGTTTCTCCGTGCGTAACGTGAATACGAGTTACTTTCTCTTTAAAAGTACTCCACAAAAACATCTCATCTCTTCGGCAGGTAGCCTTAGTGTGCTTTGCCATATTCAAATAATCTAATTTAACTAAAACAATTATTGGTATCGGTAAAAGCAATCTGTTTTACGAATTTTCGTGTTTATATATTCGTATTTTGTCTTTTATTCTACTTACTAAATTCCGTACTTGATTTCTTTATCTATAACTAATGTATTTTCTCTTTGTTCTAAACGGTTGTAAGGATTATGTTAATTTTATTAACAGTTAAATTTTAAGTTAAAGTTCCTTTCCTGTCAAATTCCAAACTTCAACTTACTGCTTCCGGCCAGAACGTAGTTTTAGAATCACGTCTGAATACATAATGAGGAAGAGCGGTATTTAACTGCCAAGTTCTTTGGTGTTAGCGAGAGAGAATCAGAGTTTCTGATTTACGCGCATCTGCCTTTTGGCCACTCTCTCTCTCTCTCTGGTCTCTCTCTCTGTCTCTCTCCTCTCTCTCTCTCTCTCTGTCTCTCTCTCTCTATGTCTCTCTCTCTGTCTCTCTCTCTCTATGTCTCTCTCTCTGTCTCTCTCTGTCTCTCTCTCTCCTGTCTCTCTCTCTCTCTCTGTCTCTCTCTCTCTATGTCTCTCTCTCTCTTGTCTCTCTGTCTCTCTCTCTCTCTCTCTCTCTCTCTCGTCCTCTCTCTGTCTCTCTCTCTCTCTCTCTGTCTCTCTCTCTCTCTCTCTCTCTCTCTCTCTCTGCTCTCTCTCTCTCTCTCTCTCTCTCTCTCTCTCTCTCTGTCTCTCTCTCTCACAGCTGTTATTACGCTCGGCCATACACAGGCCCTTGATAGCGTCGCAGTCATCTGGTGTTTAAGAAGCCAACTGCATTAGAAACTTGATAGCTTCGGCTATATTTCTTTAGTTAATCTTAGTTTTAGTTTAATTCTTAGTCTCTTAAGTTCAAGCCCAAGTGTCGGCTTTGATTGTACACTCCAAGACGGAGTTTTGTTAAATCTTATTGAAATAATAAAGGGTTAGTTACCCTTCCATCTTGTTGTTTCTTGCCACACGAACTTAAGCGATTATTCGCTAACTAGTTCTTAAGATTCGTCGCTTTCTACAGTAATTGAGATTTACACAGTGAAACTCTTACACGGTAAAAAAAATGTCTGACTGAAGAATAGAAAATTTTATGAGAAAAAAAGCCTGCATTTCGTTTCTCACCTTAATACATGACATTTCTAGAAAACGACTGATTTACAAAGGGATTTCATCTAAATCTTAGACTTGTCTGAACCAATATATTTTTAACTTTATTCCCTTTAGCAGCTGTAGACTGTAGCTATGTGACTCTGTATCTCATAAATCTGTTCTTTTTTTTTTCTTTCAGCCGATGCATACGGCAGTCTGTCGTCATTGGTGAAGGGTATGCCTAAACATGAAGAGTTAGAAGATGTCGTTTTTGACACGTCTTTCGATAACTGCAGTAAGTAGCAATCCCAAGTTTTCTATCGAGTTTCTTAGTGGGTCTCCGCATAGACGGAACTTCTGAAAGATAAAATCTTTTACTTTCTCGCCTAAGAAAAAGAGAAAAAAATCACCGACGGGATATTGAGTGTTCCAGATTTAATTTTCACTAACGCTGGAAATAAGAAATGGGAAGTTTTTAGAGTATCTGGACTAGCTTAAGGGCTTAAAAAAATGTGACAATTCTACCGAATGAAGTACTTTTAGACTATGATAGTCGGTATTATTAGAAGTGTCTTATATTTAGTTTCTAACTTGCTATTCGTTACTTTTCTACTTTAAGCGCTAAGATCTTCGTACAGTATTTTATCTAATATCGTTAAACGATTAAATATCCTAACAGCTTTGACACTTAAAAAAAGTGTCATATTTTCTGGAAATTAAAAAACTAGATTTTGCAGATCTAACTGTAAATTTGGTTTCTAGGCTTGCATAGAAAAAAACTGAATCTCTCAAATACGCGAAACTGCTTATTAAACTGAATCACATAAATTAATCTCCTATTAACCAAGCTGCTTATAATATTAGAACAACTATTGTAATTTAAGTATATTCAACTGTGCTAACGGTTTCAGCAGTCTTGACTTAAGGCCTTAGAATATGAATTTATTAGACGTGAAAAGGAAAATTCTTCAGCTAATCCTTCAGTACTGAAGTTTGATTAAGTTAAGTGTTGTAAGCGTTTTTTCGAAAGTTAAATTTCTGTACTTTGCTCAAAATTCTAAGGAATTAGTAAATAAAATATCCGTAAAATAATACTTGTTTTCCAAAATTGTCTTCTCAACTGTTTTTATTTTTTTTATTAGATACACAAATACGTAGAAAACAATGTTACTTTTCGACATAAATCGTAGATCAACGGACCTAGTTTGCAACAAAGCTAACATAATCCCATTAGGAAATTTATCGTAAGTTAGAGAACAAGCAATGAATTGTAAATAACATCAGGTGACGATTGTATCGATTAAACTTAGTGCTATATAACGTTTTTTGTTCCAGAAGTTCGTTATGTTTGCCATAGCTCAGTGGTTTTGAAACTGTGCTCCGCGGAATCCCTGGGTTCCACGAGTCAAAATACAAATTCGAAAAGAATATTATAAAGAAAATTATAAATTAAAATTATAAAGAAAATTATAAACACTTCGTTTAACAAAGAAAATTTAAAAAAGAAAAGAAAATTATAAACATTAAAAAAATTATAAACAGAAAAAGAAAACTATAAACACTTATTAAAAGACACAATAACACGCCGAATAAATACTAATTCAGAAGTCAAACAACAAAAATCAGCGTTATACCTACAAAATTTTCACAGGACTAGTTTCGATGGTTTTACCGAACCATCATCTTCAGCTGCAAAACCGCAAATGAACAAGATAGGAAATAATGATTAGATGAGATAAGAAAGCCTGGACAAGAATAAGCAAGTGGCGCCATCTGTTGGCGAAACCAGAACTAAAACATAATTTCCTTCGGCTTTTAGAGAAATTATGTTTTAGTTCTGGTTTCGCCAACAGATGGCGCCACTTGTTTATTCTTGTCCAGGCTTCTTATCTTATCTAATCATTATTTCCTATCTTGTTCATTTGCGGTTTTGCAGCTGAAGATGATGGTTCGGTAAAACCATCGAAATTAGTCCTGTGAAAATTTTGTAGGTATAACGCTGATTTTTGTTGTTTGACTTCTGACTTATTAAAATTATAAAGACTTCGTTGACTAGTGTTTATTAACTAAAAAATATAAAGATCATTTAATTATCTTTGAAAATGAATTAGAAGCTTCGTGTGCGGGTTTGCCGACTTCTATAACGCAACCTCAGCAGTGATGTGAGTGTGAGAGTAGCTTTGGTTTTTCGACTGTTCAGTCGATGTTTATCCAAAAATGTTTCTGACACATCTATAAATATTTAATTTCATTCGGAACAATGTATTTAGGTAAAAATGCTTTTTCAACGTATGCTGCAACAAAAACAAAACATAGACACAATTAAATGCAGAATATGAAATGCGACTGCATATAACATCAATAGAGCTAGACTTTAACAGTTTGTGCAAAACAATGCAACCACACCCCTGTCGCAAAATATAATGCAAAGGTAAGTGACACCGGGAGAATGAGCTAATGTTATTAATGAGAAAATTGCATTAATTTTATGTTAAAATTGTTTAATAAAAAATACAATACTTTTCTTTAATTATCTTTACATAAAATACCTGTAGCACATTGATCTTCTTCAAATATTATTTTTCTAAGGGTGAGATAAGGTTCTCAGAAAACACCTTGTAGTTCCAAGTGTTCCATGAATCGACAAAAGTGTCTGAAGATCACTGGCATAGCTCAAAACTATAGTAAATTTGCTTTGTATTTTTTCCTAAGAAGTGTATTGCTTTATATCATTAGCGTTTATACTAGCTTTTATAGCTAGTCGTTTATTAGGCTTCACTATTTAAATTCAAATTATTTCAAAATTACGATAGATTTGCAATATAATAAAACTTTCTCTGATCTTTGTGAACTTGATGATGTATTTTGAGCGCAAAGCAAGCAGGAAACTTCGCATGTTTTTCAAACAAGTAATGAATACTTACTTATTATCGCAACTATCTTAGAAGAAATCGCCAAATTTTCAAAATTTTCCGAACTCTGGCAATTACGAGAGTAAACCAGCCATGCTTCTAACAGTCCTTCAGTCAAGCAACATTGCATTTTTGGTATGTTTTTTGTTTGTTTGTTTGTTGTTGTATTCCAAGTTTCAATGGTTTTTAAGGACATTTTTTGATTTGAACTCAAAAGATGTCCTTAAAAACCATTCGAAAATTCAGATTCGAAATATAACAACTTTGGAGTAAACGCCCCTTCATTCTTAAGCAGCCCTTTGAATTTCTTAAGCAGTCCTTAACAGTGGAAGCCTTTGAATATAAGTAACTACAGTTTACTAGTAGACGTACTGTGCAAACAGGAGTTTAGATATAACTTGCCTTTGACTTTCAATTGACTGTGTTCTTGATGATCGCTAGAAAAAAATCCCGTAACAGCTTACAATGTAAATAATTCAATGACTCTTATATACATCTTCATTGTAACTTCTAGCACATTAAAAGGTTCTAAAAAGAAGGATTACTTCGGTAACCGCGAGTTCTTATTTTAGATCTTCTATATTCCGAAGAATGCTCTATATCCTCCATAAGTTATTAATTCTATATCCTCCTAATTTAGTCAACTGAGTATGATTTTTGACATGAAATTTGTCAAACTTTAGCCTCACCTTGTATATAAACAAAATGCATTCCTTTGAATCATATATTTCCTTCTAGAAAATAATTACTTTAACACTTGGATAAAAATAAGAGTGACTGGTAATTCTAGAGTTAATGAAGCGTAAAACGGTGAAATGTTGTTTCTCTCTATTAATAATATCCTGTTCGAACCTTGAATGGTTTTTCGAGAACCGAAAATTACCCCTTTCGGAACATATGATTTAACCTAAGGTTATTTTGACGACAAATATTATTATTTCAAACAAACTAAATCCTTGGACGAATTTCAGAAATAGATTGTTTACCTGTGAATTTCTGATGTGAAACTGGTGATTTCTGACATACGGATTGGCCAGTATCAGTCTACAGAAATTCGCCTTTAAATAAAAAAAACGTCTGTTTCCAAATTTTTTTCTTTAAATAACATAAAATGTTCTTGTTTGCAATTATCTGTTTTTACCAGGCACATTCTAATAAACATGGGATTATTTCTACCTACTTAAATTTCAACTAGTACATCTCACCGTTATCTGAAAGCTATCATGCAAGTTATCGCTGATAGCTTGGCTAAATTGTGAAAAGCTAATAAAACAGACAGATAAACACAATTTAAACCTTTATTCTACCTCATCACTTGTGAAGGTCAAATCAAAATATCATAAAACAAAATAACAGTCTCCTGAACTTTGCAAAAAAATAAAGCCGGAACGTAAAATTTATCAAGAGTACAAGACTCTGGGATGAACAACTAAAATCTAAATCAAATTTAACTTACCATTTAGGCTAATGTCTGGTAATTCAACTTCACTAGCTCACCAGCGTTCGTTAAATATTAGCAGGCAAGCGTGACCGCCGTTTTTCGGAACCAAACGTTGATCTATTTCAACTCATACGTTGGCGAATTCTTTTCTTCACTTTATACGAAACTGCTTGCCAATCAAATCTGCACAATTCTCTGGACAGAGCGAATACCTCACGAAATAAGCGATGAAAGAAAGAGGCAAGTCAAAAATTAAACTGGTTAGTTAAACTTATCTAAAATGTTGCTACTAATAAGAGAGTTTTCTGCAGTGCACATATCTGGATAAACTTTTCAGTATTTTTCTTCGGTAATATCATTAGTACCGTCCTGCGTTAACTTCTGTAATAAAGACATTTTACTGTTAAATACTTTAACCGAACAGACGGGAAAGTCGTTAGCGACGTTGACTGCCGTACGAAAGGGATCGGGTTCGAATCCCTGAAAAGGCGTGGATATTCGTAAATGTGTAGTGTCTGTGCGGTATGGGGAAACCCTAAATATGTGGCGAACCAAAAGTCTTCTCAAGAGGCTGGTGGTTGGAAAAGAGGGTGGGGGGGGCCCTCGGATGCGCCCTTCGGGGTGCTCTTCTTTAAAACTATGGCAAAACTGAGCATAAAGTCTCACTAACTCCTCTATGGTGCTCAAGGCTCTGGCTAACGACAGACGCAGTCTTGTTCTTGCCAGGATAATAATTCATGGGCTTTTTCTGATTATATCAGACAAGTGAAATTAGTAATAACAACAACATATGACGTAATGCTTGATAATCGCTACATATATTCGTTAAACCTGGAAAAGTAAAACCTAAATTTTTATTCAAAATTTTAAACTTATTTTAAGACTCTACTTATTCGAAACGTCATTAACATGCAGTGGGTATAATATCCTAAGTAACCGACGAAAATTCGCAAATGGCAAATAATATTATCTGCCTTTAAAATTATTTTGTGGAAAGAAAACATGCAGCAATTGCAAAATTTTATAAAATGTTGAACATCTTAATTCGACATCATCTGCAAACTTTTTTAATGTTTCTGAAATAAAAGAAAACTTTAATATTTTATCCTCTAAAAAGGCTAATTTTATCATTAAAAGCGCAAAATTTTATAAATTTTATACTGGTCAAGTTTTAAAGTGATCGCATTTGAACTTCCCCATTCTTATAGAAGGGCTCTTTACAAATTATGAAAATATAACAAGTTCTGCATTGTTTCATTGGGTTTATAACCACTGATCTGAATGTATTCTTTTTCCCTTTCCCTTCCAGTTATGCACAGTTTTACCTCCCTATAAAAATTAAATAATTTGCATTAATGACGAAAAAACACTTATCCATTGAAAGAGTAATTTGCTCAAATGATTGTATAGCATTAGTTTGGAGGAAATAAATCAGATCACCTATCAATAAATAAATAAGAAATTATTTAAAATTTTTACCATATTAGTTTAATTCTTTCTTTGAGGAGATAATTGTAATCACACGTAGAGTAACAAATTAGGAAAGCGCTGTTGGATCATGGATCATAGATCACTAACATTTTAATGCATAATATTTAATGTATGGCATAAAAATATCTCTTCTGATTTTATGTTAGGAATTTTTAATTAAACAAAGGTTTTAAATAAACAAATAATTAAAAAAAGTTGTTATTTTACTGTTACCCTCTAATTTGTTTTATGAATTTTATGCTAAACTTTACATTGTTAAATTTACATTTTGAGTAGATTTCTATATCTGCATTTCCGTTTTTACACGGTTTATTGTATTTTCAGGTCTCATGAATGTGCCGGAGTCTTGCGATTGCAGATTTTTTACATTTCTCTATTGTCAAAACGAAAATATCACAGCAGTACCTCGAGGTGTGCGCGGTCCTCTTACCAAAATGTATGTTAACCAATTCTATCTGTAAAATTAAATGCAAATTTATTATTATATTAATTTATTTATTATTATTATATTATATTATTACTTTTTTATTCATTTATTGTCTCTGAGAATAAAAACAAAGTCATTGTAATCGTAAAATCAGAACATTTCTTCGCGTTGACTGCAAATTTGAAAAAAAAAAAAAAAAAAAAAAAAAAAAAGCTTTATTTTACTTTAAGCGTCATTCTAATGCAATGAAAATTTCAGATTCCGTACTAATAGTTACTAAAGATTTGCATATCTATGGAGTGAAAAGGATGAGTGTCAACTTAGCTTGTTGCCCAGGTTGTGCCATTTAAGAAAGGAAGAAGTTTACGAGAACGTAACAAACTGCAATGGAAAGGAAACTTTTTTAAGTCTTTCTTTTCAGGAAATTCGATTTGTTGCTTTTACGTTAGCATAGCTGATGTAAAGTTCATATCCTAATCTATCTATAATGTTCAGCTAATTTAGAATAATCGTATTTTATTTGTTACGTTTTCTGTATTTACATTTCGACCGATTTTTTAATTGCACACTTATAATCTAAAGTAACTAGTCTAAGGCAGTCTTGACATACTGTTTTAAATGTATATATGTTCATAATAAGAGTATCTTAAATGTTTTGCAATGCACTATGAAAGTTGGCAAATAATCGAGAAATTTCTTTAAAACTCAGAATGCTTCGCTGTTAAATAAAGTTGAAATTTCTTTTATTTGTCGTAAACGATTGTAGAGTTCCTCCCTTTTATTTTACTAAAATAAGTGTTGAGGAACCTAGTGAACAACTAAGTTAATTATCACTTAAGTCCAAGAACAGAAACGTAAACGCACGAAGGGTTAATTACCTTTTATTTGCTCCAAATAAAAATATACAGCCTTTCTCAGGGCGTATAACAAAGCCTCCACTTGAGCTTAACTTAATATGTAAGAAATAAGAACTAACTAAAGACTAAAGAGATTTATCCAGAGCTGACACAATTCTAACCTAGTTGACTCGTAATATTAAACTAGCCACCAAAACTATCAAAAGGCACGTAATACGACCGAGCGTAGTAACAGTTAGAGAGACGTAACCAAAAGGCAAACGCGCGCTATTCAGGAATCCTAACTCTCTCTATCGAAGTTAGTGGAACTTTGACTCAAATAAATTCTACTTCTCATTTGCAGTTAACGCGATTCTAAAAACTCACTCTGGTAAGGAATTGTAAGCTGAAGCTAGAGGAGATAGGTTCATAAACTTTAAAATAATTGCTATAAAATCGGGATATATCTTACACAGTTCTTGCCTGTTGCACAAAATTGGCTTAAATGAGCAAAACCCACAGTTTTAATCAATATCTGATTAAATTCTTTTGTGATGCTAATTAATTTATTTATTATATATTTAATTTTATACTTAAATTTATTCTGAATGTTCTTGCTTTTCAAAAGTGCTTTAATTAATTTGTCAAATATTTTCTATTTTCAGGGTCCTAACAAATAATTCCTTGAGTTCCTTTCCAAGGGGAGCGTTTTCTGAATACCATGGGCTGAAAATAATGTATGTGTTTTTATTCTTCATTTAAGTTTCAGCAAAGAATATGCAAGTTTTAGATTAAATAGCGGAAACGAATATGTGAAAATTGTAAGAATATTTCTCGTTAGGTCCACCCCTTGAGTATTCTGAACAGTAGCACTTCAGCGTAAAATGAATATAAAGTATATTCTATGCAGAACCTTCAAAGTATAATAGATCTTGCATAGATGCTTGCACGTACAATGTACAATTATTTTATTCGAAAGTGGAGGAAATCTCTCCTCTCCCCAACTTTTAGAATAATTTTAATAAATATTCGATGATATTAAAATTTTGTTTTAAGGCTATGCCTAACTGTTTTATTTCTTCTCGTGACTCGTTAAATCAGCTGCATATCATAATATAAATGAAGCACTATTAATCTGAAACCAAAACTATGCATCTCAGATTGTCTCGAGCACTGAATGTGTATGGTCTTGTTTCTGCGGTTCTATTATACATCTTTTCAGAATATGCAAATATACTAAAAATAACAGCAATTAGGAAGCCGATGCCATCATAACTTTGCCGCCAACCTAATCAGTAAAGACTCTATCTCTTTCCAGTGGACGTCTTTATGCATTATTTCTCCATATACAGTAAAATCGCTTTTTACTGGCAGCAACCGAATCGCGGGTGAATTTCGGGTAATTTGAATATGTATTTCGAGAACTTACTCGATCATGATTTGGGGTGCCATCTGTAGAAACTGCAGAATACAAAATCTGTCGGTAGTATTTTTGATCCATTGACCAAAATTAAAAAAATAATATTTAAAATTGTACAGTTTATTTAAAATTAAAACATATAACATAATTTTGTGTTTCAGGAGAACAAAATTAAAACCCATTTTAAACTTTTCATATGAAAAAATTTAGTATGAGGGCTTATTACTTCGAATGTCTGCTTGCTCATAATATTGCCACCGTAGTTTTAAAAATTCGCTGTGTATACAATGAAAATTCATAACCTAACGTACGGACGTAGATGAACATATCTCAAGAAATGTTATGAAAGTCTGCAATCCTTCGTCAATTTCTATCCACGTAACTTTCTTGCTCTGCGTATTATCTTCTTCCCCTTCTTCTCAACTTCTTTCTCCTTTCAGAGTGCATGTTCGATTATTTCATTGTCGTATTAAGAGAGAAGGGAACAGAATTGTTTACATCCATCCAAGCTCGCACCGTCAATCACTAACACTAACCTTTTCCGAATATGTAAGTAAATCCAACATCTCTAACGCAGGCGTCGGACGAGTTTTAAAACCTAGAGAATCTTTGTCATTCGATTCGTCATCTACGGCCATGATCATACGCTACAATTTATTCCAAGGGCAGCGTAGTGTTCTTTGTACTTTTCCAAAAAAGATACAATTTAAATAGGACGTCGTACAATGGGAATTGTATCTAAAAATCCTGGCCACATGGACGTTCAAACGAAGTTCACACAGGAACGCATAAAAAGATATCGGTTCATCTTTATACTCTGGATAATCACTTGATTAATTACTTGGATAAGGCTTGATACGTTGGGCGGCAGAAACATAACACAAATTTTTTCAGCATTTAAGTGTGAAGATTTTTAACGCATTACGTATTTTTTACATCTCATAGACCTAAAGTTCGCATTTAAATCTCGACTTTCAAAAGTCCTGTTATTTTGATATTGCCGGTTAACTGGGTGCCAGTTACGATAAATTTTAGTCTGCTTGTAATCTTGAACGATAGGGTAAGTGAAAATTAAAAATTCAGCCTTCTAATGCCTAACTTTTTTACCTCCTTTTTTAAGTAATATTTATCACTAATACAAGTTATGAGATGTTTACGCATCGAAGTGAGTTAATAACTGCCTAACTTAGGTAGTTTCCTATAATCTGCTTATCTTACTGACTGATAATTATTCCTGATTGTTGTTTTCTCAACCATAATCTTAAAGCTTTCAGTATAGAATTCGTGTTATTGTTCAACGGTTCCATATAAGAAAAACTACTTTTTTATCCAGAGTTCCGATGTTTAGAGAAATCTACTTTCCTTCTAAATCAATAGTGCTTATTTTAGATATTATACACTCCGATTCGGGTGTTTTAATAAATTACGCTCCAATTAGACACGCATCAAGAACTACGCTTGTAGAACAACGCATCAAGAACTACGCCTCAATGAGCAGTCAATGGTTTCTAAAATTTTTAGAAAACTCTACGCAACAACTGGCTTATTTCCGATTGAAGTATCAAAAAACAAAATTTTTGCTTTATTTATCGAGCACAGCAGACCACCTAACGCCGATGGTACACATATGACCGTCTACTGTGTCTTCAGTAGTTTTTTTTCCGTTATTTTATATATGACCATGAAAATAAATCAAAATAAATATCTAAGAAACGAAATTTGCATATCTTTATGCAAATTTCGTTCATAAAACTCAGTTTGCATAAGTGTGTAACATTTTGATTACAGGAATTATAAAAACTAAACATGAGCTTTCTATTTAAGAGTCAAAGGTGCGTAAATATATACAATAATGTACAGTTTAACTGTAGCTGAAGGAAAAATACACAAGTAAGTAGGTGAAACAAATGTACTCTTTCTACACTGTGAAAAGCATTATAACAAAATTTATGCTACTTTAAAGTGATATTCTTATGTGCGCATAAATTTTTCTAAATAGTATTGTTTTGATTCCTAACCTTATCAGTGTTAAATTTTAATTTCTGAAACTCATATTATTCTGTTTTTAATGAGTGATGGATTTAATATCATCTTTCCTATTTTCAGTTATTGATAAACTTCTCATTAATAAATATTGCTTTTAAGAAATTGTTTGTAAAAAAAAAAAAATAATCGATTTTCCTAAAGTGTTTGAATTTTTAATTTTCGATTTTGTTTCCTTAAGTTTAGGCTCAAGACCTGCGTTAAAGCATATTTTAACGAAATGCTTTTTGTTTTTTTATTTCAAATAATAGAAAGACCTGCAGCCTGAACCGCCGGGGAGGGGGAACAGTTAACTTCGAGCAACGTAGCCCCGTTTTTTTGTTTTAATATATATATAGCACAAAAAAAATCTTGTAACATTTATTGTCAATATTACGATGTTCTTTACGAAAATTTAATAAACCTTTCCAATTTTATCAATAAATTCGGAAAAAAAACCTGTTTATGTGACCCTTTTCCCTTAAACTTTCGACAGGAATGAAGAGGCGAGTAAGAGATAACACAAACTGAAAGAGCAAGTAAAATATTTCTCAGCTAATTGGGAAGCATGTAAATGAAGCAAGAAGAAAATTTATAATTTTAATACTCCTATTAGTTTTAATTCAAATTTTAGAGAACTGCTTCTTGCAAACATATCAGACAGTCTGAAAAGAGGAGAGGTTGTCTAAGCAGCTGATCGAAAATAAGCTGATCTATACCTTTTGTTACATACTGCAAGTTACAGCTTAAGTAACTTGAAAGATATTACTCGAAAACTATTGCAGCAGTATTTTACAATTCGAATTAAAACTTATGTTTCTGAAACTTTTGACTTTACCCTTTAATTGCGAAACTAAAGATTATGTATGCTTTAATTTTCAGACACGTGGAAGGGAACGTCATCCCAGTGCTAACTCCTGGACCTTTTCTGGGATTACGCAATGTTACATTTCTGTGAGTACTATATTCAATAAATATTATAAAAATGTAATAAAATGTAATAGTGAGTATTGTAAAAATTAAATCTTATTACCTTAGTTTAAGTAACTTACTTGTATCCATTCTTAATCAAAATTTGACAAATACAATATTCCATAAAATGCTGCGGAAACTGTAGCAACCTTCTGTATAACAAGATGGTTCGCCGTTTAAAAAATTGATTATATCCATTTTAGTGTCACTAGGGTTTATATTCAAATATTGATTTAACATGCAGCTACGTATTCTGAACCAAAACAAAAATAGAACATTTCTCATCCTTTCCATTTCCAAAATCATCGTTTGTCTAGTGTATATGCATCTCCTGTGTTAGTTATTTAATCAGCAATCTTAGTCCGAATTTTCTGTGTGTGATCATACTCACGTGGACTCAGGCAATAAATTTTTTTTCAAAAAAGATTCGTAACTGATCCGTTGTGTATAACAAACAAAAAGCAATTTCCCGTTATTGCACTATTAACGGCCTAATGATTTTATACATTTCTCTTTGAGTATTGTAGTTTCGTTTAATGTACGGAGGTCCTGAATAGCCACGGAATATTGGTAGCAGATCCATGCTTCCCTTTTTAAAACAGAATGGGTTTTTATTAAATAAAAGAAAACATTTATCGGAAAATTCTAGATGAGTATTACATTGGCAGTTCGACGCGTGCGTAAGATTTTTTCCAGTGTTCCCTCCACGAACCAAGTTTTCCCAAAATATCCTTTACGAAAATTTGGGCATATATATAAAACTTCAGTGTTTTGACTTATTTGATAACCCTAACCTAAGAAAAATACCTATATTTAGTTCTGAGATGGGAAAATAAATGGTATTTAAACCAATGAAAATCGTTAAATACATCATAAATAACTAAGACTTTTATATATATAGTGAGCTGCCGATGTAACAAATATTCTTTCCCAATTTTCTGATATATTTTTCTGTTCTTTTACAAAACGCATTCCAATACATACTCCTCTAGATTAATCGTTTAGAATGAACTTTGTTAAAACTATATGTAGGCTAATATAAACCTTCTTTCTCCCAAAGCAGGTCGTATTTGAGGACAGTTTAATTTGAAACTAGGGTCAGATTATTGTTTACTTTCATTTACTCTTTGTTTACTTTATCTTTGTGACCATCTTCCCCTTCAATATTTTATTATTGTTTAAATGAACTATATTTTTAAAAGCTTCGAAGCAGTCTTTAAACTCTATATTTCTTCCCTTTGTTTTTCTTTTATTTTATTTTATATTTAGTAGCTTTACGTTGGTGACGGTTATTTATAAATTTAATATTAACCATTTGTTGTTAAAATACTTGCACCATAATGGAAATAATAACAGAGATTTTATATATCCTATATATGTTTTATTTTGCATTTTTATAGTGTTTGATAACTGAATAGGTTTAGGTTCATTTAAATTTGTATTCATATTATTTTCCAGTCAGTTTTATCGTAGTGACATACCCTTTTGTAATTATGAAACAAAATCTCTCTTTTAAGGATTTATAAGCAGTCTATTAAAATGATTTTCGTATTTTTAGCATATCTTAAGGCGCAATATTTTAGTCAAACTGCTTTTATTTATATAAAATATCCTTATATTAGCGCTGTGACTAGTAATGCGAGTCTTCTGATGAAGGCTCGTATTATATAATCATTAGAGTAAAATTTATCAAAATATACTACTGTTTTAAGATTAGATATCTTCTTTTAAATAGTAAATTTTCTAATTCCACCATTTTAACCACCCATTTAACTAATAGTCCTGTAACAAAGTAGCTGCATATTTTAACCAAACGTTTTGCAAACTAAATGAAAACAAATTCTTTAGGAGTTGCGTGCTTAATTAAATATCTTTTAAACTTAATTACATGTTGTTTCTACTTTTGATATGGGACTTTGATGGGGGCTGCACTCAACTGTATTTTAGTTTGAAATTAGTGGAATTATTTTTAAAAAAATTTTAAAGACATACCTTGAAATTTTTCAAGTCTCAAAGACAAGATCTTTTTATGTGAATGATCATGTTATTATTTAAGATTTACAAATATATCATTATGCAATGGAAATATCTAAGTATGCTATGACGTCTGACAATTACTGCGAATCTCTCACAGTCCTGATTTCGAACTCATACTTAATATGACAGAATGTTAGATTGGATTATTTGAATTACGCGAAAGCACGCGAGGACTACCTGCCTGAAGGGTAGGATGTCTGTATGAAGGATTTTTAAGAGTTATTTTATATGAATATGGTGAAGTCATTAGAACAATCTGCCTAACTGGAGGGATGACTTCGTAAGAGGATGTTCTAAGCGAACCTGCCTCGTATTCACGTTACACATGGGTAAGCCCATGAATGCTTACCATCCCTTTCACCTGGAATAGAACCCAAATCAGATCAATTTATCAGAATTCAGCGCTCAGAACCACTCGGTCACTGATAAAGAGATATTTTTAAGCCAAACTGGCAGGTCTTCATCTTACACATGGAAAAAATCACGAAATTTACCATGCACCCAGCCCGTTCGGTGAAATTTGAACCCGCCTCGAACTATTAATGTTCAGTGATTTTACTGCTCGTTCGCTAAGTGGGCTCTAATCTGCGTATATAGGAGGATACTATGTTTCCTGTTCACTTCACTGACGTAAGAAAATATAATAACTTCTTTGTTGCAAAATTCGGATAGCAATTGCTTAAAGAACTGCACCAAGTTGTCATTGTGATGGGATTAATTTACCTATTTGGTTCAAGATGCGTAGCCTGTTATTTGCCCAAGATTGCAATATAGATGATTAAATCATTAACATCGAATGATAGACTTCTGTAATACAAGTTTAAGATTTCTCAGTCTAACACATATGAAAGCAGTTTTCCGGTTGCTTAAAGCACAAAGTAAAGTAATTGATTAGAAGAATATCAAGCTTTTAATCAGTTGCTTTATCTAATGCAAAAGTTTGATTGGGTATGTAAATCTGATTTTCGTGAAGATATGGAAAATTTCAGAACACTGCCATCACAAAATTTTAATGAATTTTTTTAATTTTCAAATTCCTTAATTAGATTTCTTAGTTGCTAATGCATGTCGTACAACCGTGCAGTTTTCTTTCAATGTGTTATGAACTTTGTGCATAGATACAGGATTTTTGTGCAATTATATGTGAAACTGTTGCATTTTTCTATGCAATGTGATTCGAAAAGCTGACAGAAATGGTGTTCTGCCGTAAAAATAAGAATACAAGCCAAGTCTATTTAACACTAAGTAAATGGCTATCTCGATGAATTGGCGAGATATCACCAAGCTAGCGATGGTTTTGGCGACTAATTTTTATAGCCAAATTTTTCGAGACATCTCCAAAAGTCGCCAAACTTTGCAATCATTTGGCGACATTTTGGTCCAGTCCCTATATAACCGTAATAGTTATTGTAATTGAATAACTGTACTTGATTTCATATGCAGCTGTAACCGTACCCGGCCCTCATATGCCGGAGTCTTACAGTAACTTCGAGAAGTAGAAAGTACTAGAAATATCTCAACGGCCGAATAAAAACTATATAACTCTGAAGGAAGCATCAGTTTCACAGTTGCTCTGAGTTGCTAGTTCAGAGCGATTCTGGAAATTTCCGTGAGTGCTTTGCATTCTGCTGTGTTTAACGTTTCCAGTAGTTTGAAGTGTAACTACTGATTATGCTTAGTGATACTGTGAGGAGCTGTACGAGTATTTTTGTGCAAAGTTTCAGAACTATGAAGTGTTTCTTTGGATAAAATAAATTTTATCAAGCTATCATCGGTTCTCTGTGCATTCAGTCGATTACGAACAAATGTTTGAAGCAAAATACATCACAAATATTTATGAATAACTTCACAAATTCTCAAATGCTTTTATGCTATTGTTTTAGTGGTATTGTAATGAACTGTATAATATTTAAAGTTCTAATATTCCACTAACGCTAACTTTGTTACGTTTAGTGATTTTCTAACGCTTATATGCGCGTTAGATCTCGCTTTCTTTTGTTTAAAAAGTAATGCAGATTTAAGAAGAAAAGAAGAATGAGTTGATTTTGAAATGCAGATCTCAAGGCTTCAAATGTTTTCAATTCCAAGTACTGCGATAGGTTGTGCGACGCCTATGCTGTTATTCAGACAGAGAAACCCCCCTCTAAATAGCCATTTTAATTATTCATCAAATGGATGAGGAGAACCGCTTGAGACGCAAGAGGATTCATTCAGCCTTGCGAGATAGCTTATCAGAGCTCCAAACGTACCGTAAATATGAAGACATTTTCATACGCGACGGATGCTGTTGCTGGCATTTTAACACCCTCAAAGAATTGCCGCTGTTATTGAGACAGTTTTTTTTGCCCCTACTTTTTTATTCGTTGACATATTTATGCCCGACACTGGCTGCCTGCCAAAACATTTCTTCTAGTGCGATCTCGGAATCACAGTAAAAGACATGATTTTCGTTTCGAATCTTGAAGGATGGGATCATTTTCGAGTTTGCGATCATTTTCCTTTCTCGGTTATTTCATCGCACAGTGATGAGAATCACCAAGTGGCCCAAATAAGGTTGATGTAAGCTTTTAGAAGCTATAAATTATATAAAGAACGTTAACGCAACAGACCTTCCTTGTTTGACTTCAGTTCAAAGAAGGCAAAGTTCTCACACTTAAAAGAATTATAGACTTGATATCAACAAACAAAGCTCACATTTTTTTTAAAGGAAGTGAGAATATCAGGGAGCAATTTTCATTAGAAAATAAGCTGCTTTTGTAGTTAACTTTGATACAGCTTTTTACACTCATACTGCAGATCAAATTTAACTAAAGTTTATGGCCGACTGTTTCCGAACATTTTTAAATCTAAATACTAATTCTCATACAACGAAGTCAAATCTTCCTTGAATATTGTAACTAGTTTCTCAAATGAAAACGCTTCATCAAATATGTGATTTAGCATAT